CGTGGGAGGTAAAAGTGAGGGAGGCGGCAAAGGGGTTTGCCACGCATGCAGAGCGGGCACCAGGTTTGTGCTGTGCTCTCCCCAGGGGACAGCCGGGACTGTACCAAAGTGACAAGGGATTCTGTCTCGGCTCCGGGTTTCCCAGCAATGGAATGTTCTGCCGCAGGGCAGGGTTACACGGCCCGTGTGGATATTCGACTAGAGGCTATTCGACCTTGGCCTAGGCGGATGCACCGTGAATTTATCCACAGTGCTTACCTGTTATCTCCAGGCCCTCAACTAAGACTGCAGAACGAAGCTGAAAATCCGCAGGTGGTAAAATAGGTACTCCCTCTCCTCTCTGGAAGGTTCCACGTTGTCCAGCAAGAAAGGGATCGTGACATGCCCCCAGATCCTCATCTCATCTACATGCGTCCCAAGGCCAGGACGACCACACCTCGCTGACAGCAGAAGGCTGTAATGGGACCTCCCCCCACAGAGCTTAGCCTCTCAGATGGAAAATTCTAGAAAGAAATGTTAGTTTCCAAAGCTTAGAGCATGCACTGGTTGGTACCAGACATTTTTTCAAGGAAAAGGAAAATTCGACCTCCCCCCCCCCGGGGAAGTAGGGAGGCCGGTTCCGAAAGCGCTGATGCTGCCGAGAGGCTGCGGCCCGGCTGGCCTTCAGCCTTGCCACCGCCCGGGCCCCAAATGCTGGGGAGCCCAGCGCTTCTCGGGCCTCTCTCGACTAGGTCAGCCCCCTACGCCGGATGACACTTGCTACAAGGATGCGGAGAGTAGAGAGAAATCCCAGCACGTTTCCTGACTACTTAGGAATATGGTGTAACACAAAGCAACTTCTGGAAGCCCGCCCGTCGGCCTGGTGACCCAGGTGACACACAGGGGACCGGTCGCTGCCACTCCGGCAGATGCAATCCATCTTACCAACTGGGCCTTGCTAAAAAAAAAAAAAAAGAAAAGAAAAGAAAAGAAAAAAGCGTTTTCCTTATTGCCCTACTGTGTCCTCACCCAGAACAAGAATTCCAATCGAGACCCAGAGAAACGGGAAAGCGCCAGAATGACTTTTTTTTGTTTTTTTTTTCAGTGTTTATTTTTGAGAGACCGGGCACGAGTGGGGGAGGGGCAGAGAGAGGGAGACACAGAATCGGAAGCAGCTCCAGGCTGCGAGCGGCACAGAGCCCGACGCGGGGCTCGAACCCACCAACTGCGATTATGACCTGAGCCGAAGCCGGAGGCTTCACCAGCTGAGCCCCCCAGGTGCCCCCAGAATGACTTTAAACGGAAAAAGGGGATATTTCCACACACGCCCATTGAGGGTCTCTCAGAGAAACCAGAACAGTTCCAGAAAAGGACTTGTTTTTCCACGGAAGACGCAGGGGCAGCAGGACGCCCCGTGCGGTGCGCGGCTTCCGTGGCGGGTGGTCCGACCTCTGTGCGCCCCTGGGCATCACGCACCTCCTGCCGCTGTGGCCGGGGGGGGGGGTCCCGCAGCGCGCCCTCCCCCCCGCCCCACTGCAGCGCGCTCCTCTCCCCCGCCCCCCCTTGCAGCGCGCCCTCTCCCTCCCGCCCTTTCCCCGGCTCCACTGCAGCGTCCTCTCCCCCATCCCCCCCGCAGCGCCCCCCCGCAGCGCGCCCCCCCGCAGCGCCCCCCGCAGCGCGCCCCGCAGCACCCCCGCAGCGCGCCCCCCCGCAGCGCCCCCCGCAGCCCCCCC